AGTATCCTTTACCCAAGCCGAGGTCATACACAGAGGAGCGAGAGAGAGAGTATCCTTTAGCCAAGCCGAGGTTATACACAGAGGAGCAAGAGAGAGAGTATCCTTTAGCCAAGCCGAGGTCAGATCAGGGGTTAAGTAGAGTAGACAGGTCCAGGAGCAAGCCGAGTCGGTATCAGGAAGTCACAGGTTACAAGAAACAGGAACAAGGCACGGGGAGCTAGAGATCATCCTGCAACTTGAGGAAGTAATGAGCCTCCTTATAAAGGCCGTCTGAGGCTGATGTGTGCTTCTGCGGCCATGCAGGGTACTGGAAGAAATGCCAGATCTTTCAGAACTTCTGCCATGGACAGGACCCTGACAGAAGGCCCGAGCAGATATACCATATAAATCTGTTAAAACCCTGGAAGGATAGACTGGCATTGACTATGGGGGTCATCCCTACAAGTCGTAGAGGTACTGAGTTTCCTCTGGTCCCTGAGGTCACCATTCCTGACACCCTGTCTCCTTCCCAAAAACAGGAAGCTAGAGCCTTCTTAGTAAGAAAAAGGGAGAATTGCCTGGTACAACCTCAGCTGTTCAGCATGATATTGTTACTGAACCTGGGGTCTGTATCAAACTAAAACCCTACCGAATTCCTGAAGCTAGGAGAAAGGACATCAGGGATGAAGTTCAAAGGATGCTGTCAGGGATCTCCTCGATCCCCGCCGCGATGGTCCCGGCGCAGTGCACCGCCCTGTGCAGGGACACGGGCACTAGGTCCGGGCCGGCCACGGCGTTCGAGTTCGCGCATGTGCAGTAGAAGCCGCGGCCGCCCGCTGGGCACCAATGGCAGCGCAGGGCGGGATATTCAAATGGCCCCGTAGCAGCCCCTGTGCCGGTTTCTGGGGCGTCCGCACCACTCCCCGGCGGCCGAACCCCGAGTACCCTTACCGGAACGTTTCCACGGGGACCGCACACGCTTCAGGTCATTCCGTGAGTCCTGTCTTCTCTATTTTGAGTTACAACCACGGACCTTTGTGACTGAATCCGTGAAGGTGGGGTTCGTCATCTCCCTCCTGCAGGGTGAACCCCAAGACTGGGCCCACCGACTGCGGGGAAAAAATGACCCTCACCTTAGTTCGGTTGACAATTTTTTTGACACAATGGCCATCCTATGACCCTGAAGCTACTTTGTACACGCTCCGGCAAGGCCGCCGAGCGGCGGAGGAGTACGCTTCTGATTTTAGGCGCTGGATGGGGGACACACGTTGGAACGAGTTTGCACTCCTGCATCATTTCCGTATAGGCCTGTCAGAAGGCCTGAAAGATGAGCTCGCCCGGGTGGAGGTGCCTGAGACTTTAGAGGACTTAATTGCGCTGACTATTAAGATTGACCGTAGACTGCGGGAACGCAGGTTTGAGAGGTCCGGCCAGGGTCATGGAAAAATCCCTGGGGGTCATTTCAAGGTCCCAGTCAAGCACCTAGGCCAAACATCCAGAACCGCCCACCTGGAGATATCCCTGAACCCATGCAACTCGGCCTGGCACGGCCTAAGCTATCTCCAGAGGAACACCAGCGCAGACGATCCTAGAACCTGTGCCTCTACTGTGGTGAAGCTGGTCATATGGTACGATCCTGCCCGCAGAAACTGAGTAAGTGCACCTCTTCTTCCTTGTCCATTGGCAATGTTAGTCCATCCCAATACTTAGTGGTGCCCCTTTCCTTTCAGCTTTCAGAAAGGACCGTGGAAGTATCGGCCATAGTTAATTCGGGGGCATGCAGCTGCTTCTTGGACATTAATTTTGCTCACCAGCAGGGTATTCCTCTCCAATTGAAACAGAAGGGGTTCAATATTTATTTGGCCGACGGTTCCCGGGATAAAATCGGGGGTAGTGAACCAGGAAACCCCCTCCATCGTCACTGTCATTGCCGGCCAGCACCAGGAACTCCTCCGCCTGGATGCTATAGCTTCACCCCTCTTCCCAGTCATTTTGGGGCTCCCATGGTTACGGGCCCATAACCCCCAAATTGACTGGGAGACCGGAGTAATCTCGTTCCCTTCCCCATACTGTCGGGTATACTGCCGCACTTCGGGCCCGGGGGTCCCCCAAATCCTCCTGTGCTCTGAGGGGGAAGCCAAATTAAAACAAGTAATCCCTGCAGCCTACCATGAGTTTCTAGATGTGTTCAGCAAACGGGGAGCCAATACTCTACCCCCCCACCGCCCTTATGACTGTCCCGTTGACCTGTTACCCGGTTCAGAAATTCCTTTTGGGCGAATCTTCCCCCTTTCGGAGCTCGAATTGGGGGCCCTGAAGGAATATATCGAGGACAGCCTCCAGAAGGGGTTCATCCGCCCCTCCACTTCACCGGCGGGGGCGGGAATTTTCTTTGTTGAAAAGAAGGACAAGACCTTAAGGTCGTGTATCGATTACCGGGAGTTGAACAGGGTCACGATAAAGAACCGTTACCCAGTGCCGTTAGTACCGGAGTTATTCCAAAGTTTAAAGACAGCAGTGGTTTTTACAAAGCTGGATTTGAGGGGAGCGTACAACTTGGTTCGCATAAGGGAGGGGGACGAGTGGAAGACGGCCTTCCGCACCCGCTTCGGCCAATTTGAATATTTGGTCATGCCGTTCGGGTTGTGCAATGCTCCGGCCACTTTTCAACACTTTGTGAATGATATTTTTAGGGACTTCCTGGATGTCTTTGTTATCGTCTATTTAGACGACATTTTGATCTTCTCCCCTTCTTTGGGGGAACACAGAATACATGTAGCGAGGGTATTGGGGCGATTGCGGCAGCATGGGTTGTACGCCAAGGCAGAGAAATGTTGTTTCGAACAATCCAGCATTACTTTCTTGGGCCTGATTATCTCCACCGCGGGGGTCGCGATGGATCCTCAGAAAGTCGCTGCAATACTGGATTGGCCTGAACCCACAGACAGGAAAGGCATCCAACGATTTATCGGTTTTGGAAATTTTTACCGGAAGTTCATCAAAAACTTCTCGGGTCTGGTCTCCCCCATTACTCAGCTAACCAAGCTGGGAACCCGGTTCAGATGGACACCAGAGGGTCAGGAAGCTTTTGAAGCCTTGAAGAAGCTGTTCACCTCGGCACCCATTTTGGGTCATCCAGACGCCGCCCTGCCCTACATCTTGGAGGTGGATGCATCGGAGAATGCGGTAGGATCCATCCTCTCCCAGCGGAAAGGCACCAAGGAATTGCTCCATCCTGTAGCATTCTTCTCACGGAAGCTTACCCCAGTGGAGAAGAATTATGATATCGGTGATCGAGAGCTACTGGCGATCAAAACGGCGTTAGAGGAATGGAGGTACCTGCTGGAAGGTGCTGTACACCCCATCTTAATATTTACTGACCACAAGAACCTGGAATATCTGAGAACCGCCAAGCGTCTACGCCTGCGTCAGGCAAGATGGGCACTATTCTTTTCAAGATTCAACTTCCAAATTATGTACCGGCCTGGATCAAAGAACACTAAGCCAGATGCGTTATCACGTATGTACAAGGACGCCAAGGAGATCCCAGTACCCGACACCATCCTGTCCTCGGGTAACTTCTTGGCTCTTCAGTCGGACCTTCGTTCCAAGATAATGGAGGCACCCACAACCGTCTCTACCCTGGTCGGAGGGCCCCTCCAGAACAAGGGGGGACTCCTATGGAGGGAAGATTGGATTGTGGTGCCGGAGGAAGCCCGAACCCTGGTCGGAACGATGGCGGGGCACTTTGGCCCAGAAAAGGCCCTGGAACTTCTCCGACGCTCCTTCTGGTGGCCGGACATGGCTAAAGATTGTAAGGGCTATGTAAGGTCCTGTATCACCTGCCAGAAGAACAAGCCATTAAGAAACAAAGTTTGGGGTCTGCTGCGACCCTTAACGATTCCTGAACGGCCTTGGCATAAGATCTCGTTAGACTTTATAGTCGAGCTTCCGCCATCACTAGACCACACGGCAATCCTGGTGGTCGTGGACCGCTTGTCCAAGATGGCCCACTTCATCCCGTTGAAGAAAACCCCCTCGGCAGCCGAGACTGCGCGAGTCTTCATTCGTGAGGTAGTAAGGCTGCATGGGGTCCCCGAAGACATTGTCTCGGACGGGGGGTCCAGTTCACGTCAAGATTTTGGAGAGCACTGTGCAAAGCTCTGGACATCAAATTGTCCCTCTCCTCTGCATTCCACCCTCAAACTAACGGTCAAACCGAAAGGACCAATCAGACCCTGGAGCAATACTTAAGATGCTACACTTCGTTTACTCAAGATGACTGGATGCCACTTCTACCCCTAGCGGAATTCGCGTACAACAACGCCCGCCACTCAGCGACGGGACAGTCCCCGTTCTTTGCCAACTATGGTTTTCACCCCGTCTTTCTCCCAGATTTGGTCTCGGAATGCCCAGTACCAGCAACACAAGATGTGGTAACGTTTTTCTCTCCGCAAACAATAAGAAGCTTCAAGAGGCCATCAGTCGGGCCCAGGAAGACTACAGGAAGGCATTCAACAGGAAACGGAGGGGAGATCTGGTGTTGCGGCCTGGGGAGAAGGTTTGGCTAGCGACGTCCAATTTAAAGATGCTTTGCCCGTCGAAGAAATTGGGACCCAAATTTATAGGCCCCTTCTGCATTAAACGGATGGTCAACGAAGTGGCCTACGAGCTCGTCCTTCCTGATACACTCAAGATCCACCCAGTCTTCCATGTGTCCCTGCTGAAGCCAGTAATCCCAGATGCCTTCCCTGACCGAGAATCTAGACCCCCGGAAGCCATAACGGTCGAGGGAGAAGAAGAATTTGAGGTAGAAACAATCCTGAAGTGCCGAAGGAGGGGGGGGCCAGACCCAATTCCTTATCAAATGGAAGGGCTATGGCCCTGAGGACAATTCTTGAGAGCCAGCCCATAATGTCCATGCACCCAGACTTGTCCGGAGGTTTTTTCGCCATCAGCCGTAGTGGAGAGATCGGGTGGGCATCCGGAGGTTGCCTGTAGGGGGGGGGCAATGTCAGGGATCTCCTCGATCCCCGCCGCGATGGTCCCGGCGCAGGCGCAGTGCACTGCCCTGTGCAGGGACACGGGCACTAGGTCCGGGCCGGCCGCGGCATTCGAGTTCGGCCCATCGGACCTTGCTCATCCATCCATCCCTTGCAGTGGGGTCTTCTGACCTCCTCATATCAGACTCTTTCCCGTGGGAGCCCTTGGCGCATACCACTACCACAGACGGACGCACCCAGTAGCCACGACCTGGTCTCAGGGGGCTCCAAGTCCATCCCCACCATCAGGGGCCCTGGTGAACAAGCACCCTGGGACTTAGACTCCGTGCGCTGGGGACGCCTATTCAGTGGAGTGCTAGTGGTACCGCCAGGCGGTCCCTTATAGATGCTGGAGCGTGACATAATTGAGGAATCCAATAGTGACTGGTCTAGTCCCGTTGTATTGGTCCAAAAAACCAGATGGCACCTGGAGGTTTTGTAATGACTTCAGGAAGCTGAATTCAGTGACAAAATTTGAAACGTACCCAATGCCTAGGGTAGATGAGCTGATAGACAGACTCGGTAAGGCCCGCTATCTGACCACGTTAAACTTGACCAAAGGATATTGGCAAACCCCCCTGATTAATAGTGCCAAAAAAAAGACAGCGTTTGTGACCCCAGAGGGTTCTTTTCAGTATAAAAAGATGCCTTTTGGGTTGCAAAATACCCTTGCAACCTTTCAGGAGGCCATGAAGAGAACCCTAAGACCTCACCAACAATATGCAGCCACTTATCTGGACGACATTGTAATACATAGCACTGACTGGGAGTCTCAAAATTATGTCACCATTGCTGTGGAAAGGAGTTCCCTGGGCTTTTAGGTGGACTCCAGGAAAGCAAACACATGTTTTAAGACAGCAATGTACCTCATATATTGCATTTTTAATGCAAAACAGAATTCAATGCAATATAGGAATTCTGACTGAAGAACAGAGGAAAGCCACTAGGCTATGTCTGTAATTCTATATATTCTGTGAGAAATGCAGTGCCTCAAATTCTTTATGTCTTTATAGTCACCAGTCAAATCTTTAGTTTGCTTATTGACACCCAGTAGATGGTGCACCCAGCATTCTACACTAATTGTATTCATTGAAGTTCCTTGTCTTGTAGATCTTTATACAAAGCCTTACAGCTACCCAGGAAATTAGAATTGCGGTAATTAGTACTGGTAGGTCTTCATGGGAATAAGACTTGACTTTCGCGGAGTTTATTGGATGGTGGAAGAACAATGATTGATGATGTGACAACAACTTGTATTTACCCTCTACACACCAAATTTCAATCAAAACACCAACCCAAAGAGATGTATTGAGTCTGAGTAATGCACATATTCCTCACAAATATCCAGGCTGTACGGTGTAGGCATCTTTTTTATAAGATGGGCCACCCACAAGGAATAGAGCCAGATTTAAAATCCTCTGCCCTGTAGGCCAACTGGCTTGTTCTGTCACACTTCAACCCCAGTACACTGACTAGCCATAGTATCACATTACCAAGAAGTTACAGCCACAGAGACAAGTTAAGGCTAGGGACATAGAAAATGAAAATGACAGTTTTCCCACTCTGCATTAGTACACCTACACCCTAAAGAAACACCCTAGTAAGCTAGAAATTTTCTTCTAAGTGTACATACTGTACATAGAGAGGGAGAGCTATACATACACAGTATACTATCTCACCAACAAAAAAAAACATACTGTACCTAAAACCTAGCTAGATTACATACTGTAGGTAGGCAGAGCAGAAACCCAGAACTATTTATTATATATAGCAACGTGTTAATGTCATTCATTCAGTAAATATTAAGTGAGTGCCCCCTTGGCTGCTTTTACTCCCTAAGCTATGGCCTGTGTTGTCTATGAAGAAAACCAGTACTGCAAGGAGGACCATAGCTCTATAAGTGTTAGCCTTCAGCTAGTTGGTATTCATCATGTATATGCAGGCATGGATGGCCAGTTAAGGGTATCTTAAGTCATGGCTGAAATTCTTAATAAAATCCTAAATATCAAGTAATTAGTAATTATAGCACCTTACCTGGGCACTTATCTCATCTACTTCTTCATTTTTTGCCGTTACTTTCCATTGAGCTGGTACAAACATCCCTGCTACAATTTTCTTCTCCTGGCTGCATTGACTTGCAGTGTCCCATGGAGCCACCCCATGTGCGCACTCCCAGGGGAGAGACTACAAGCTGGCTGCTCCCACTGACATGCACAGGCAGCAACAGAAGACTAAGAAGGGACATGCATGCATGGTGGTGTTTAGATTTATGGAACAGCTTGCCCCATAGATAGGGACAAAGAGATATTTAAAGTGGTTGTAAAGGTTCAAGGTTTTTTACCTTCATGTATTCTATGCATGAAGGTAAAAAACCTCTGTGCAGCATCCCCCGCAGCCCCCTTAAATACTCACCTAAGCCCCCTCTCGATCCAGTGATCTGCACTGGAGTCTCGGCTATCCCGGGACTCCCTCTCCTCATTGGCAGAGACAGCAGCAGGATCTGGGCCGCGCTGTGCAAAACCACTGCACACAGCTGGTAAGTATAGAATTACTGTTGTTTTTTACAAAAAAAAAAGAAAACCTTTAGAATCACTTTAATGCTGTTTGCATTGCATGCTCCTCAACCGGAAGTTGGTAAAGCTGCACAGAGCAAGCCTGAGTAAGTACATCTTATAGTAAGTCTTTCTGCACTTTTTTAACCCTTTCATGCATGAATCATGAAAGTCACAGTCAAGATTTTTTCCTCCATATTTTTATTACTATTTGAACACAAAGAAAAAAATGAAAAAAAATTTTGAACATTTATTTTCCAAAGTTCTTCACATGTCCAACTGAAAAAAACAATATAGATGGTATTTTCTTCATTATCCTTTAGGCCTTCCTATCTTGCTCTGCATATGAGCTCTACAAAATATAAAGACATTAATCATTAGGCCTTATTCACATTGGATGTGTTTAACATTGCTTCTAGGGGTTTTTTTTTTTTTCCTCAACGCCCCTGTATGTTAGCCTATGTGTCCATGCACACATAAGTATTTAGAGGAATTTAGAGGCAGGGATGTTTAGATGCAAAAAAAAGCCCACTGCCAGTGTATCCAAGAGCAGCCGTGTTTTGGCACAAAAAACACTTGATGCGTGTTAGGCGCGTTTATTGTGTGAAAGTCAATTCAATGGCCAGAATAAATTATTTTGACCAGTTAAATGAATTAATACCCAAACACTTGATGCACCTACACACGTTATATGTAAAGTGTTTAAACCAAAATGCTGCTGCCAGGAGGAAAGGAGTCTACAAGAGCTAGCAAAGCATCCAGTGCATGTCCTTAAGTAATGGAACTTATCTGCACAAAATCAATACTAGTAAAATTTAATTACAATATGTTTCTTTAGGTATCGCTTGATGTTACCATATTTTGTTTTTTACCTCCGAGGGTCGGCCATCTTGGTTTTGAGAATTTTTTTCATGCACTTACAATATGATATGCGTTGATATGCAGCTATAGAAACAGAACCCATGCATATACAAGAAAACAGCTTTAAAATAGCTGTTCACTGTAATGGCCACTATGCAAGAAAAGGTTAAACTAAGTAAATATAACCAGCTCAGATGTGCATGTCTGCATTAGTAACCTAAACCAGAAACTCAAAGTGATCTTCTAGTTAAAGTGATTGTAAAGGCTTGAGGCTTTTTACTTTCATGCATTCTATGCATGAAGATAAAAAACCTTCTGTGTGCAGCAGTGCTGACAGCCCTCTCAATATTTACCTGAGCCCCATCGAGATCCATCAATGTACAGCTGTCCCAGGCCTCTGCCTCCTCATTGGCTGAGACAGCAAATGGGAGCAGATTGCTTCCACAGCCTCCGGCGACGGTAAGGCACGCTCCTGCCATTTAACCGGGCATCGCTTGCCCATCTGCGGGCCCAGAGAGAGCCATGGCAGGTGCCGGTGGGTGGAGGGGAGAGAGGAGAGTGGATGAGTGTATGACTTGGAAGGCGACATCTATGACGTCACTTCCGGGTCACGGATATATTGCAATGCGGTTTGCAATGCAATACATCTATTGGATCACGGAGGAGATATGCAGGGTCTTTTTGACCCTGCATGTCTCAATAAAAATAACCTGTCACCTAAAAATCATCACATAGGGGACTTTGTGTAAAAAATGTAAGTTATACCCAAGCACATAACATCCCCTCCCAAAAAATGTTGAGGCTCCTCCCACATATATGCACATAAGAAAAAAAAAACACGTTGGGGTGCCTACGCATGAAAATGTTGATTGCGAAACACACTGTATGTTACATATTGCCGCGCATGCCAGAGTGAGAGCAATAATTCTAGCATCAGATCTCCACTGTAACGCTAAACTGATAACCTTTTACCTTAAGGGGCTTTTGAAGCATCATTTATAGAAAATATACCATACTGAAGTTTGCCGCAATTTCATAGGCGCACACAAATTTAAGGGTGGCATGTTGGGTATCTATTTACTCAGCACTACCTTCTCTTTTATACCAAAATATAATTTACCAAAAATGTGGGTAATTTCTTGCTTTTGTTTGCCCTAAAATTCACTTTAGTGTGATTTTTACTGAAATTTTGCATTTATTTTGCAATAATATCGTGTGACATAAAAAATTGGACCTACTGCTGTTTTATTCTGTAGGGTGTCTGCTTTCAGTAAATATATAATGTTTGGGGGTTTTGTATAATCTTCAGGCTTAAAATGATTTTTTAAACGTTTGCAAAAAATGCTAAAACTGCTCTGGCAGCGAAAGAAAGTGTAGCTGGCAGGTACGCTTGCTCTCAATGTACTAGTTGCTACATATGTCTTTATGTGAACAGTAATACATTTAAAATCTATTTAAAAACTCCAAAATACACAGGAGGGTAGTCTTTTAAAATGTAAGACTTCTAAAATAAATGACACATTAAACTATTATGAAATTTGCTGCTTTGTTCTGCCAATAATTGGACAAAATGGATGCTAAGATTTGATAAGAAAGCAAGCAATAATAAGAAACTATAATATCTCCTTGCTCGTTACTACTTCCGTTGCATTTATCCTAAGAAGACAAGCCAAAACTGAAGGCAGAGAAGCTGAAAAATACAGACAGCCCACTCTGCATCCCATGCACCCCAGCTTAATGAAATTACTTCTACTATTTTATTATATTGGCTTTTCAAAATAACACATGCAATGATTTAGTTCAACTTGTTTTTTATTGAATTTTTCAAGTAAAATTACAAGAAGGTTCACAGTTATACAAACCATTCAAAGTAGTGATCACTTAATCAATTATACAATCTTGGTCTAAGAATGAG